CCCCCCCATCAGAGTAGGGCATCCTTGCATTCTCAGCTTGCCTCGGGCAAAGGAAAAATGAGTTCAGAACCAGGTTGCCATTCTAGAGTCTATGCGGGTGTGGAGTGAGGGTTGTGGCTGTGAATGTAAATTGTGTCTTTGCAGGCTCCGTGCACCTCAAAATAATTGGTGTGATTGGTGGTGGTGGTGGTGGTGCTGGAGGAGGAGGATTTACCATGGTTCCAGAACCAAGAATCAAGAGCATGGTTGTCTCAGGGTTGGGAACCCAGGGTGGAGGAGCAGGACAAGCTTCAGATGTAATGGGATCCAGACTCCTGCCGTCAGGCCGATAGCTAGCGGGAAGTCCTGTTACTGGAAAAGGCACCGTATCTCACGTTGTACTCAGAAGAAAGCAGGAAGATATTTGCTTCGGGGGGTGGTTCACCATGGCCCGACTCTCACATCATTCTTGGTGAGCATCCCGGCTCTCACAGCTAAAGCCCCATCTCACTGCCTCTTCAGCCAGTCTGGGAGTCCTGGATGGATGAGGTGTCCCTTTCCTCTGACTCTGCCCTTGGCTGTTGTCTGCCTGGCTCCTCCTTGTCAACAGACCGCAGCCCCCCATTCCTCTCTTCAGCCTCGCCTTGTGTGGAGAGGCACCAGGCACACCTGTGGCAGCTTTGAGTGCGTCAAGCATCCTGTGGGGGGAAGAGATGCTACCTTTGCATTTTGCCTATTTCTCAAAAAGGGTGGTCCCGAAGCCCCCAAAAGACCCTCATCTCTCCCTTCTAGCTCCGCCACGCAGTGCCTCTCCACAGCTCACTCATGCCGAAGATTTAGGAACTAGATCCTTAGAGCGAGCCACAGGACACTTCTCTTGGGGTCAGAACAGTCCGGTACCCTGGCTGAGAACCCAGTGGTATTGGATGAAAGGGCTGGACATCAGGAACTTGGTCAACTCTACGACTTCTTCTCTGGGGAAATCATTTCCTAGTGTCTGAGCCTCAATGTTCTCTTCTGTAAAGTAGGGCGAACACTTAAGTTAACATCTGTAAAGCTCTCCACCCTGTGCCTGGTATATAATAAGTGTCTCCCAGGACTATTTATTTGGGTGCCAGTTGAGAACGATTCTCAGGTTCGTGGCCAATCCTCCCAGCTGACTCTGGCTTCCTGTTGATCACAAGAGCCACTATTGGTGAGGAGTCTATGATGGACTGGCCAGTAGCACTATGCCCTTCCCTCATTTCATCTCCACGTTCACTTTGAGCCGAGGAAACCAAGACCCTGGGGTAAGTGCTTTGCGCAGAGGAACGACCTGTGAAGGGCAGAGAGAGAGTGCCAAGACAGGGCTCTTGGGCATCATGTGGTCCTTTTGAGGCCCCAGCTGTGCCTGGGTAGCACGATGGTTAATGGACCTAACTGCTACTCACATGGCTGGAGGTTTGAGTCCACTCAGAGTCACTTTGGAAGAAAGATCTGGAGATCTGATTCTGAAAAACCAGCCATTGGCAACCCTCTGGATGACAGCCCTACTCTGACGCGCACGGGGGTCCACAGGGATCAAGTCAGCAACAAGAGTGACTGGCGTGTTTTAATGACCCGCAACACAACCGTGATCTCACCCAGAACTTGGGACTCCCCCCCCCCACCCCAACCTGGAGAAAGCCCATTACCAAAGCCCACTACCTTCCCTGGCCAACCCCAAAGTCAGACCTGAAGAGTAATGGTTTATTGAGTCACGTGGCCATGGTGAGTGGTCTTTAAAAAAGAAAAACACATCAAAGAGAGAAGCCTGACGTGGCAGGGAGACAATTCACTTGGAGGTCAAAGTTTGGGGGGGATGGCAAAGGGAAGCTTGTCGCAAACAGAGCTTCATTTACAGTATTTACAGTCAGGGGTGGGGCGGGAGCTGGGAGGCACCTGGAAGTGGGAGCCTCTGTTGTTGGTTTCTAGGGGCTCCTTCAGGGTGTCTTCGGATGCAGCGGGGTTGGACTGTAGGAAGCACGTTAGCTTGGAAGGACTGATTAGGAAAGGGAATTAGGTTCCCGGTTGTGCCCTGGGCCGAGATCTACCTCACACCGTCCTAGGGGCCAAGGACCCTTTGGATCGTCGGTCTCAAGCTGTTTTTGGCAGGCCCAGGGGATGGCAGCTCCCAAGCGGAGGATCCGTCGGAGAAGAACGTGGGGTGGTGTTTGTACATTCACCGCAGCAGGCAAAGGAAAGTCATTTGGTAGCAAGATAAGAGTTTTTGATTGGCCAGCCCCAGCCCTCAACCCATACCCAGAGGGAGGCACAAGAAGAGCCAAGCAAGGGAAGTAGAGAAGGTGGACAGGTGGGGAGACTGAGGGAGGTGACTGTCAGGGGCACTGGGGACAACCTCATTTGCACGGGGCTATGGCTTGTGGGTTGCATGGAACTGCTTACAGCCCACAATTGTTAGAGTTGTGTTGGCAACAAAGCCAGGAGGCACCTCATCCACCCGAAAGCCCCTCCGTCTTGCCATCCTCTCAAGATCGTCCAACCGTTCCCTCTTCTCTCCTTTGATGGGAAGCCTTCGGGGCCAGAGTTCTCCTTTGAGTCTGTCTCTTGCTGAATGCGATGGTTCGATTCCCTTGGGCCTCTGGTCCCTCATTAAGGAGTCTTGGAGGGCAGTTTGGCCTTCTCCAAGGTCGCTGTGTCCTTCATGGTTCATTAAATCAACCACGCTGGGAGTGAGCCGCCATGCTGGACTTGTGGTTATTTTTCATGTAATAAATAAAGATTCCTTTGTGCGACTCTCTGGGGCCTGTTGCAGGCCCAGTCCTCCTGTTGCTTGGTCCTCCCACTGTCCCCATGGCAACTACAGATGGTCAAAGGCCGTAGCGGTGGTGGGCGGTGCTGCGTTCGGCCTTGATGTGGAACTGTAATAATATGGGGAACCTGGACATGTTAGAAAAAAAATAATGACAACACTGCTGGGCAGAAGGGGAAATTACACCACAGCTTTCCCTTTCCCGCATCTGCTGACCTTTAAGACAGCACAAGTTAATCATTGATCCCACTGGCCTATCTGATTATCAAAGATTAACTCCTCTCCGGCCCTGTTTCCTCCTTCTCTGGCCTCACCTTGGAGTCCCTGGCCAGAATGAGAGCAGTTGCCTCTCTGCCTCCCTCCCTTGGTGACCGCTTTGACCTTCACACCTTCCATGCAATGCTCTTCATTGCATCTGGAGCCTCGAGGACCCATGCACTTTGGAAGGGATCATCTAGATCCCCCAAAGCCCTGCACAAGCAAGGCAAGCTTGGTGAATGGCCAACCAGAGACCCATCGGTGACGATCTTAGGTGGTCACAGGGGATCAGGATTTGAGGCTGGTCCGGGGCATGATGGGCATCCAGGATGGCCACATAAGGTGCCCTGACACTTCCACCGACACCACTGCCCTCATCCTTTCTGGTTAGGCTGAATAGAAGGGAGGCTTGGAGTTGAACTCATCTGGACAGCAGAGCCCAGGTCATCCTGGTGGCCAGCTCGGTCATTTCGGGAACACTCTACAGATGTATCAGGAGAGGGGACTCTTCAGAAGCACACTGGCTTGGGAGAAGCTATTAGGAAAGGCAATTGGGTTCCCAGCTCTGCCTTGCTTTGGTCCTGACTAGCCTGGGAGTGGCCTGCACTTGACCGCTGAATCTCTCTGGCTTCAGGTTAACTCTGAGACCCACAGGGCTGTCATGTGAGTGTGAACCTTTCAGCCTCCCTTCCTGGGGGCTTGGTTTACTTGCAAATAAAAACAAACCATCTCTACCCACCGTGGTGTGCCAGTGTCAGGGAAGAGTGAAGAGTGAGCTTCCCGCTAACTTTCCAGATCTCACTCCCGAATCTTCTCCTCTCCTTTCAAAGGAAGTGTCAGAGGGCATGGTGGAGCGAAGGACTTGGGTGGAAGGATTTGGATGCTGAACCGTTTAGTGGGTCAACAGGCAGGGCAGGGCAACAGCCCCAGCCTCGGGGGCCTCCCAGTAAGAAAGGCAGCAAGCATGCCTCTGGATTCCTCTTAGTCAATGTCTGCTGGTTTTAGACTGTAAGCCCTTGGGGGCAGGTGGTCTTCTCGCCAACCTGTCTTGTCTCCACCCTTTCCCCTCGGCTCAAGGCCTGAGCCCAGAATCCTACACCAAACACTTACTAGGCATGGCTGTGGGTACTGGGAGGGAGAAGGCTGCAGGGAAGTCTCTTCCCTCTTCCTTCTTCCCCACAAACAAGCAGGGATATAGGCCTTCCCGGTCTACCATCTTGGATTCTAAAAAACATCACCCGTTTCCCCAAGCCCTTCACCTCTCATATCTTGATGCAAATAACCCCCACTGTATGGTTCATCTGTTAGTTCCCTATGCCCATGTGTGCCTTATTTGCATGGGCAAAATAGCATGGCAACTCAGGGCCTCTGATCTTTCAGATGACCCCTGACTCACTCTCGCACCCCCACCCCGCCACACGCAGCAGAAGCCCTTCCTGGCCCCAGAGGTGACTTACTCAGCAAGCTGGGGTTGGGGAAGCGCCAGGCCTCGCCATAGGAGGAGTAGGGGGCGTGGCCGTAGGTGTTGCCAGAGTACTCACTTCCTGTGGGGGGACACGACACAGGGAGAGAGCTGTGAGGTGGTGGGCATCACAGTGGAAGGGGGGCGGGGCGGGGAAGAGGGTCTGCAGTGCTAGCAGCAGGTGAGACTGGGGACCAAATGGCTGGGGCAGTAGAGTTCTGAAGGTCCTGCCATCCATCTTTTTGGGAGTCCTTCAGCCTGCATCGTTTTGAGTGGTCATTTCCCTGGGTACCACTGCCATCCTCACAGATACCCCAAGAGGCAAGGAGATGACTATTTCCATTCCCCTGACGAAGAACCTGAGGATTGGGAATCCGCAGAAGCTCATACAACTGGACAGGTGGGTGGCATTTGGAGGTTGGGCTGTGAAACCACAGCCAGTTTTCTGACTGCTACTTCCTGTTGCCTGCCTCACTGGGGCGGGGTTAGAGGTCAGAGAGAAATTTGTTTTATACAAATACACACACACACACACACACACATAGTCCCACCCCCACCATGGTGGTGTGCATGGTTAATGCAGTCGGCTGCTAACCAAAAGGCCGGAAGTTTCACCCACCCAGAGGTCCCTGAGAAGAAAGACCAGCCACTGAAATCCTTAAGGAGCACTGTTTGACACATGTCGAGTCAGCTGGAACGGCCTTGGGGTCATCTGGTAGGTGTGGATGCATGAACTGTTTTAGCTTAATGTCTGCTGGTTTTAGACTGTAAGCCCTTGGGGGCAGGTGGTTTTCTCTCCAGCTTGTCTTGTCACCACCCTTTCCCCTCCGCTCAAGGCCTGGGCCCAGAATCCTGTACAAAACACTTACTAGGCATGGGTACGTGTGTGGTGGTGGTGGTGAGGGATTAAGGAGAGGAAAGGAAGCAGGGACCCTGGGCCCACTGGAGCTCTTGGGAAGACTGGACCCTGGGCTTTGAGGACTTTGTGTTCCCATCCTAAGTCCACCACGGAGATTAGATTGCCCTCTGTGAGGAGACAATTGGCTTTACCAAAGCGATTACTATAGGATTCCTTTAAATAACAACCAAGCGATCCACAATCACCACAACTACCTCTGGTGTGACTTAACGTTTGCAAAGCACTTTCACACACATCATGCCTGTTCATTTTCACAACTGTCCTGTGAAGTGCTCCTGCCAAGGGCTCCAAGAGGAGTCTGAGTGCAGATTAAGCAGTCTGCCTTGAATCACACAGTCGGTAGGTGGCAGGGAAGACCTTGCCCTTGGGCTCTGGAGTCTGAATTCCAGATAATCCCTTGATGCACTGAAAAGACCATTACGTTTACCCAGCAAAGTTCTTGCCAACTCTGTGACCCAGTGCATGTCTCCACAGTCTTCTAGGAACTCATCTGCTATTGTGAGCGGGGTGGGCTTAGAACCCCCTTGTCCTGGAGCTAGACTGCCTACAGTCACGAGGCCCCCATCCACTCCCTGCATCCGAGGTGGGTAACCCTTGGCAAGGCGTGGAACCTCTCTGAGCCTTGATTTCTTCATCTGAAAAATGGAGCAAATGACTGACCCCATCTTCCTGGGTAGCAGCAAGGATTAGGTGAGTCATGAAATCTATATCAATACCAAAAGCTCACTGCCATGAAGTCGATGCCAACTCACAGTGACCCTACAGGGCAGGGTAGAACTGCGGTGGTGGGTTTCTGAGACTGGAACTCTTCACAGGAGTAGAAAGCCTCGTCTTTCTCCCATGGAGCAGCTGGTGGTTTTGAACTGCTGACCTTGTGGTTAGCAGCACAACGTGTAACCACGATGCCACCAGGGCTCCTAAATCTATGTGAGTACTCAATAAACTTGATTTTATTATTTTCCCATTGAGCAGGTGCTAAAATAAAGTTCCATCACTCATTATTCCCTTCAGGCTGTAACCATGCTCTGGTGTCTACCATCTTTGAAAATCCTTCTCCTATGCTCCTCCCCACTGCCAGCTAGCAGTCAATTCTCTGTTCCATGATTTCTTTCTTCACCTTCTTCATGGCCTCCACGCAGGTCAACAGCGATCCCTGCAAAGTGCCTGCAACTCCTGTTCCAGCAGCCACTTCCCTGTCACTTGCTCCACTTCTCAGCAGCCTGGGATTCAGCTCTATGCCCTTGTTCTCATTCCATCCAGTCTCCTGGTTGGCTTCCTAATTCACTTGTTTTGCCTACTCTGGTTTCTTTGCCAATTGATTCCCTGTTAGACCGCAGAGCGTGGGCAAACACCATGGCTTGGTTCGTGGGCTTTCTGTGTTTTCCTGCTCCCATTCCTTTTCTGGTGATCTTGTCTAATCCCTTGGCATTAAATAATATCTCTCACAGGGGCTGACATTTGTACCTTTAGTCATGATTCTGCTTGAGTTCAGACCTACCCATGGGCCTGTTTCCTTATGTAATTGGGTATGTAGTACACATCTCAGTTCTAAAACAGTATGACAGAATTTCTGATTCCTGCTTCCCCACGCACCCAACTTCTTCTTCTTCTGATGTCCCATTGTCCTTCAGGCTGTTTCCCAGTCCTAAACCCAGGAGTCACTTGTGTTTCCTCTGTTTTTCTTTTCCCTATAATTGATCCACTAGAACATCTTACTGACTCTCCCACCACAATGTGCCCTCAGTGTTTCCATGACCCTTCTTTGCTTTGACCACGCTGGCAGTCTACGTGATTGCCATTCTTGCATGAATTACTGCATTGCCTAACGGGTACCTAGGTTTCCTTTCTTGACTCTCTACAAACCAACTCCCCCACCCCCAACAAACTGAGTAGTCTTCAAAAGTGGACCCCACCACTATCAGTATCTCTTCTTCCTGTAGAGATTTCTACCCCCACTGACTTCTCTAAAAACCAGATTCCCCTTCTCCCTGCGACAGCATGCTCAATAGTTTCTGCCTTAGGGCCTTTGCACTTGCTGTTCTTTCTGGCCAGGGATGAGCTGCCCCAGTTAATCACTTGGCTAACCGCTTTGAACACCTTCTCAGAGATCACACAATCTGAAGCAGGCATCTCTTCTCCCTGTGGCTTTTCATTACATCACCCCATTCTATTGTCTTCACTGTGCTTATCGTTATCTGAAATGATCTTGCTTTCTCATTTCTTTACTTATTCACTGTCCCTTCCCTCCCACCATCAGGTAAAGGCTCCGTAACTAGAGGGACCTGTCCTGTTGCCTGTTGTATCTCCAGCATCTCACACAGGAGATCCCCAACCAGCTTGTTAAATGAGGAATTAGATGGGCAGGTGGGTGGAACGAAGTCAGAATGGAAGGATGGGTAATGCAAAAAATGGATGGATACAAGGAAAGAGGCACAAATAGAAGGATGAGTGGATGGATAAACAGAAAGATGTATGATAGAGGGAATGGATGGATAGATAGAAAGACACACCAATGTATGAAAGGGGAATGGGGAAGTAGGTGGAAAGATGGATAGATAGATGGTGATTCAGCATTAGAACTTGGCCAGGAGTCATTAACTCTGTTAATGAGGTAGGAACAATACAAGGAGAAGGCAAACCATAAGGTGAGTAGACAACAGAAAACTCCCTCTTGGCTCTGTTCCTGTACCTCTCTCTCATTGCCTATATCTTTATTTCTGGTACAGTTGGAGACAGTGTGTGTAGTGGAAAGCATCTGAGATTTTGAAGTGAAAAGACCTCTGCTTGAGCATTTCAGACACTGAGCGTGACGATGACTTTGAATACGATGTCCTTGCTGAAACCTCAGTTTCCAGGTCAATACAACTGGAAGCATACCAACCCAACCTCTTGGATTTAGAGTGGGGATTAAATGAGAAATAAAGTTATGTTGGTGAATGGACTGAGGAGCTGAACACAAAGATGTTTTTAATAAGGGAATGCTTCCTTCCTTCCACACGTGATTGAAACACGCCATTGGCATGCTTTTCTTGAAGAATTGATTGTGCATCTAGTGCAAAGCAGAGCCCCTGGTTGGTGCAAAGAGTTAATGTGCTTGGCTGCTAACCAAAAGGTTGGAGGGTTGAGTCCCCTGGAGGGACCTTGACAAAAAGGCCTGGTGATCTACTTCTGAAAGAAACTCAGCTCTTGACAGCCCTGTGGAGCACAGAAGCACGTGCACACGTGGGATCCCTGTGAGCCTCGTGGACACCACACAGGGCAACTGGAAGACGTGGTGGTGGCGGGGCACACAGTGGCGTTCAATGGATGTTCACAGATGGAACGGAAGGGATTGCCATTCTGTCAGCTGGGTGGTCACAAGCAGTGATACTAGATGGATAATGATTCCACAAAAGAATTCCTTAAGGATTTATTTGGGGAGTGGAGTTCTGAGGCACTAGATGGTGTATTTTAAAAGGACAGCATTTTCGGAAGACTGATTTGCATGTTATTTATTGGGAGCCCTTCCACATCAAAAGGGAGAGCCCCTCCCTCTTGCAAAATGGTACCTAACTCAGCTCCTAACCGCAGCACCTAACTCAGGATGAGTTCTTTCTGGAAACCACCTGAGGGCCTTTGATAAGAGGCCCAGGCCTTCAAGCTACCTCCCAGGTCAGACTCGTGCCCCAGAAGCCCTGTGCCCTAGGCCTGCCCCTGGGAATGGCTCATAATTAAGAGAAAAGCCCGGTGCTTTTTCCTTCTTCGTCCTCCTCAGAGAGCTGGAAGCAGGGGAAGGGGGGGGGGCGCTGGGAGGGGGATGTGGGGAGCAACTGAAGCCTGGGATTTTGATTGAGAGGCACCATTATCCACACTCTTAAAAAAATAACCGAATCTTTTCCTTTTTTATCTTGACCAATCTCATTTCACGCTCCAGAAGAGGAAGGAAGGGAGGGAGGGAGTCTGGGGCCAGGAGGGAGAGAGGAGTCAGTATTCTGTATTTTCAACACTGCATTAAGCACATCTCCACGGTAACCAGGCAGCAACAAGTGCCAGCTCAGCAGGTTCCCAGGGAGTGCACAGCCTTCTTCCCCCCTCCCTTCCCTCTACCCCGAAGAGCCCAGCCCACCTGCCTCAACATGGGGCACCTAGGGTGGATGGTTGGCAAAGATTAACCCCTGCCAGAGAAGGAGGGAATCAGCCCTGGGAGGATCTGCGACATCTTAGCTCAGAGCCAGGGAAGTTGACCCTGGGCAGACATGGGGATCACCAATGACCCAAGTTCAGACCCAAGTTCTGCAAACACCAAGTCTTAGGACTCTCTGGGCAGTAGAAATGAGCCAATTCTACCCTGCGTCCTCCCTTTATGGTTCTCAAAGAGCAAGACTTGGCCAAAGAAATTCTCTCTGTTCTCCCGTGGTCAGACCTTGATAGCTTGAATCCCTTTGGATGCTGATCAGAGTTATAGACAAAGAAACCCAAATGGCCACCAGGCAAGACTTCAGGACAAAGCAAGACAAAGGAAGATGAAAAAATACTCCCAGTTCATTTCACACTCTATGGTAGCAATTGGAACCTGGATTCTCCCCACCTAAGGTTGGGTGAGGGTGGGATGGGATAGAAGATATATTCTAACCATCACCATTCATGATTGACACAAAGTGCAGGCTGAGATCATTCAAGGGTAAATCATGAGGAGACCTGAGACTGCTTAAAGGGAGGTGGTGTTTATATTGGGTTCCAAGTGGTTGTGTCGAGCCTAGAGCACTCTCCAGCAGTGCTCACCGACTCAGTGAAAGAGAGCTGAGTTCATGTCGCCCTCTCGGCCCTCCCCTTTCCCAGGTGACGGCAAAGGTCTTTGGGAAGAAGGGGGCCTGTGCTGGAGGGAGGTGAAGACCAGAACTGCATGGAGCTATTTCTCTAGGTTTTCATGAGAAGAGGCACCCTCTGGTCTACCTTCTGTGCCTTATCCAAGTGTGAGGAAGCCCCCACCCCACCCCAATTGTGTCTCTTGCTCTACCTGCTTCCAGCCCCTTGTTCTTTACAATGCTCCCCTGTCCTGCCCAGTCCCCCATCTTACCTGCCACCATGCCCGCGATGGCAGAAGAGGTGTAGCTGCCCTGTCCGCTGGTGGGGATATGGGGTGGGTATCCGGGCAGCGTGGACCCCACCATCTCACGGCCTAGAAAAATACAGCAAGGAGACATCAGTTGAGATGGCATCGAGCTCCTGGACTTCCGGTCTTGCTCCTCTAAGGCTCAGCACACCTGCCTCATTTACACGCTCATCAAGGCCTTTCTCCAAACTAGAGTCTCCCCTCTTCCTCTGAGCCTGAGCAACTCTTTCCTCCTTCCTCTGGTCTCCCAGAGCACAGCGGCTCCAGGAGGCACTTGGAGTCAAGGATTGAGTGTGCATCTTATTCATCCAGACGAAGGCTCTGTCACAGGAGGCTGGGGGCTCTGTCTTCTAGGTCTTCATTCTCCCGCAAAGTCCCTAGCACCAGGCCTTTGGCCAGATTCTTCCCTGCCCAGCCACAGCCACGAAGTGAAAGTAGAAAGGACTTGACTTTGTAACGACTGGGGAAATGTATGGATGACACCTATTAGGAACTCGATCTCCCTTTTAGAAGACAAGGGAAACGTGCTTGATGCCTAGCACTCACATCTCTTGACAAGCTTCCATACCCAACCCAAAGATGGCGCCGACCACACTGCACCGAATGTGTGGTCTTCTCCAACGTCCGGTTAATAACCCAATCTCTCATGTCATGGTCCTGTAATAACTCACTACGCCTCTTCCAAGTCTCCCATTCTGGGGCTTCTACCTGTCATTTGTCCCATTCTGACGACTGTTCTTTCAATTAAAAAAGATCAGGTTTGTTCCAGTTTTGCTTCATCAGCATGTCCGAGCTGGTTCAAAGCCTTGACTGGCACAACGGTGGGCACAGTTTCCTAAATACATGCATTCAGGGCTGCTTGACACCGAGCTCACATCCATTGGGGGCCCTGGCTCTGAGGAGAGCCGAAGAAACCTCGTCTTGACAGAACGATGGCACGGTGCGGCCACTGGCCCGTCACTATCCCTTCTAGGGCCTATGGCAGACACTGCTAATCAGTCACCACTGCCATGATTGTTCCTACACACAGAAGGCTCCTGCATCTATAGCTGGCCTTGCAGGGGCTTAAAATCCATCCAATTTGCAAGGGACATGAAAGCTATTAGCTATCTCTAACTTAGGAGGAGGAAGAGAAGGCGGAATGAAAGATCTTTACCATTCACTCATGGCCATAAACCACACAGCTTTACATCCGAGTCACCAAAAGAATCAGACCCAGCAAAGCAGACATCAATTTCTCTTTGGCCAGCTCTATCTAATTGGAGGATGGACAAAGACCCAATTTCCCTGAATTAGCCTCTCCTTGATAGCAGGAGGTATAGTGATTACTCATTGGGCTGTCACCACAAGGTCAGCGGTTTGAAATCGCCAGCCAATTTTTGGGATGAAGATGAGGCTTTCTACTTCTGGAAAGCGTTATAGACAGTTGTTTGATAACATTCTATTCGGTCTGATAGGATCTCTATGACCCTATCGCCACAATAGACTCGGGGGCAGCGGGTTGGGTTTCGGTTATATCAGGAAGGTCAAAGCTCCAATTCTGCAGCCTTCACCCAGCCCGGTGAGTTTCTCCCACGTAGCTCACATGTCAACCACCACAACCCTTGGTGAACAGCTCTTCCTCCATCCCTCCTTGTCCTGCAGGTCCAGACAAGACTCTCCCTCACCCAAGGATGATCAAGAAGGTAGGTATATATCCTGATCCACCCAAGTCAGTCCAGGTTGTACCCAGGGCCCCAGAGTCTTTTATTAATCATGCGTGTTTTACTTTCAAAACATCTGAGGATGAATGATGAATGATTCGGTCATCCCAGTTCTCAGTGGGATGTGCAGGTTTGTCAACCTTAGCGCTCCAACCTCCTGCACTGGATGGTTCTTCACTGTGGGGGCTGTCCTGTGCACTGGGGAGTGTTTAGCAGCATCCTCTGCTCCTCTCCACTGTACCAGTAGCACTAAAAGTATCTTTAGACATGGAAAAATTTCACATAAAGGGCAGAACTGACCCTAGTTGAACACCACTGTGTTAGAAAATAAGTTTTACCAAATGTCTTCTGCCTCTTCCATACTGGGCGCTGCTTTTTCTCCCCAGAATGTACAAAGTCACCTGTGAGTCCCTGTCAACCACCTTACCAAACCCATCCTCTGCCTGGCACTGCAGGGCCAACTCTCCTGCATCAATCCCCCAAGGTCTTTCAGAGCTCAGTCCTTCAGAGGCTGCCCAGTAATGTTGGAAGAGAAGGCATACCCCTCCAGGAATATACAATCTGTCAGTAGGCCACCGTAATGGACTCCAGTCTCTGGAGTTTCCTATGGACCATTCATTCATTCAACAAAGAATTAGTTAATAAGTACTATGTTATTGTTATGTGTTGTCCAGTTAATTCTGACTCACTGTGACCCTATATTATAAAGTAGATCTGCCCCATCGGGTCTCCTAGGCTGTAATCTTTATGGGAACACATTTCTGGGTCTTTCGTCTGATGATAAGGAGGGTTGGTGGGTTTGATTTGCTGACCTTTCTCTTCACAGCTGAGTGCTCAATCCTTGTGCCATCAAGGCTGCTTAAATACTAAGTACCCGGCACCTTTCTAGGCCCCAGGGAATACAGCAGAGAATGAGATGCTACACGAACAAGGTCGGGGCCTAAATAACATTTGGATGCAGACTGCGAGGTGTATGTGGAGCCAAGCCTAGGGGTCAACAAGCAAGACCAGGCATATTCCGCTTTGCTCCTTCCCCTGGAAGAGAGCTCCTGGATTTAGGGGATGTGGGTTTTGTTCTGCTCCTGCACGGATTTTCTCAGTACTCTTAGACTGCCTTTCTGCCTACCCCAATCTTCACCTTCCTCACATGTTAAACGAGCAGCTTTCTTTACCAGACGTATTATCATCAGGATGATAAGATTCTCACGATGATCAGCATCATTCAGAGACCAGGTTTCATACTTTGGAGGGACGTTGACACCAATGGACACATTCTCAAAATGGCAACATGTTCATGGAACTTTAGGAAACAAATCCTACTAAACTGAGCCATCAGCAGTGCCCATAATTTAAGAGTATGAATGCTCTGGTAGAAACGGCCCCCGCCCTCGACTTCGCTTGATGCTGATTACAGTGTTTAGTTATGGTTGGCATGGATCCAAATACGGAGGACAACCCCGCCCCCCCAACACACACATTGGAATTCTACCGGTGGGCTCAGTTCAGCTGACACGGGTCATCGCCGGGACAGCTGAACACAGGTGGACGGCATGGGAATGGTGGTGCATTTAGCAGTAGAGGACGAACTGAGCAGAAGGCATGTTGTTGCCGATGCTCTCGGGCATCCCTGCGTTGACCGTCACCTCAGAGCAAGGCCACGTGACAGAATAGAACAACCCCCGAGAGTTTCCGAGGTGGTAATACTTAGGGGAGACTCTACCCTGCCCCCTAGCATCACTGTGAGTCAGGATGGACTCATGGTAGTGAGTTTGGGTTTGGGTTTTAATATTTACGGGAGTCAATTGCCAGGTACTGCTCCTATGGATCCACAGCGGGGGTTCGAACCACCAGCCTCACAGTTAGCCACTGAGTGCGAGACCACTGTGCCATCAGGGTCCTGTGTAGATGATACATCAAAGGGAAACCCAATATCTCTTTGAAGAAGCCTGCATTACAATGGACTCATCAACTCCACCCCATTGGTAACTCCATGAAGCACCCGGTGAGCCACCTCCCCGGAGTGTGTGAGAGAAGGAGTAAGGTGGTGGAAGGGAAGGTGGCCACGGCAGGCCTGAGGCGGGCTCCCTTTCTTCCTGACTCCTTACTACCTTCTCCCTGACTGAGAACGCTCGACCCAACTGCACCGGTCTGGGGCTAAGGGGAAACCTTAATCATCTTAAAACCATACCTTTCCATCTGTCACACGAGGAGCCCGTTTAGATCAGATTATAACTAGGGTCACTTTACTCCTCTGGTCAGTGTTGACTGTAGTTCTTCCTCGCTTTCCAGGGCACTGTGTTGATAAGGGTTCTCAGGCTGCATTCATGCTTACTATGATGTGGGGGGCGGGGTTCCACAGACACCAGTACCAGTACTGAGACATACTGGGTCTGCTTCAAGTCCTTAAAATGTGCTTTCTTCCCCAAACCAGGAACCTTGCAAGCTTCTTAGAAATGAGAGCAGAGAAGCTATGAAGGGAGGCCTTTGTGGTCTACTCCTCTCTACTTATTTCATGGTGTCTCTAGGTATGAGTGGCTTAGTTAGTGGTTGTGCACTGGGCTGCTAATCACAAGGTCAACAGTTCAAAACCACTAGCTACCTCCATGGGAGAAAGATGAGGTTTTCAACTGCTGTAAACGGTTACCGTCTCAGAAACCCCCAGGAGCAGTTCTACCCAGTCCTATCAAATTGCTATGAGTCAGAATTGACTCAAAGTCAGTGAGTGATCTGTTTTTATCTGGGTACAGGGTCACTCCTCATCGGAATCAATGCGATAGCCGTGAGAGTTTTGCTGGGGGATACAAATGGTTAAGTGTTCTACTGCTAATCAAAAGGTTGGCAGTTCAAACTCACCCTGAGGTGCCTTGGCAATCAGGTCTGGTGATCTATCTCCCATTGGTCACAGACTGGATAAGCTAAGGAAGCTCAGTTCTAATCGGACATGATGGCAACTTTTTTGAAATCAGTGTTTCTCCATGGTGCAGAATTCCATCTCCTCTGCACTCCAGTACACTGGAGTTGTTAAGAAGCTGATGTCAGCACAGGCTCATTTTGGCAGGTGGTAGAATGGAGTTCTTTAAGTGTTTTCTCTAAGGAAAGCCTGGCAGTCCAGAAATGTTGGCAAGTATTCCAAATATTGGTAAAGATGAGGGTCAGAGAACTATTACCGGGAGGAATTCAGAAGGTGGAGGTAACTTCAGACCATTTTATTTGCCCCCTTTGATGTCTGCCCTCTGGGTGACCCCTTTTTCAATGCCTTATCTTGTTCTGATAGCAAGGAAAATTTATGGCGATCCAGAAATCTCTCTGGCAGGACTAAATATAATTCTGCACAAAAGGATGGAGGAGGGTAATGAACTCTTTGAAGGGCTCCTCTGCTGATAAAACCTAACTCAGAGCCTCCTAGTAGCTGAGCTGAAGCCCCCGGGATGAGGGCAGCCTGCGAGCCGGGCGTTTGCCAGTGTGTGGGGACCTCAGATGGGACATCTGAAGGGAACCGGCCGGATAGCTTCTCAAACTCTACTTCCTATTTTCTTGGGTGTCTGGGAAACACCGGGATCTAAGAAAGGCCATGGCTCCGGTAATTGCTATTGGAGTCACTGGGCAGGGGGAGGAGGTGACCTCCAAGGGACGCTATGGGAGCAGGTCAAAGAGTGCTGGAAATGGCAGGGAGGGACAAGCGCACTTCATATCCCTGCCTGAATCTGTGTTCAGAGACACCAGCTTCCATGGCTACCTGGGTTCCCGCTCTTCTTGTGTGGCCCTGCCAAGCCTTTCTGCAGCACACACAGAAACTGAAGCAGGTTCCCCCAGCATTGGATACTTATCCACACTCTCGTCTTTCACCTGCTTCTTGCCATTCGCATGAGGCTCAGCATTGATCGGTGTCCAACCACCGACCCCAGGTCTGAGCCTTCTCTACTCTCCTCCCTGCCACCCACCACTCCCCAAACACACACACACACACACACACACACACACACACACACCTCACACACATTTTCTCTGGCTGACACCATTCCACTCAGCTCACAGATTTTTCCCCTTTAATCACTTTGGTCAAAAACAAATGACCCATCTCTGCTGACTTCACCCTCCTTCGAAATGTCCCACTTGAGTCAACCCTTTCTTCCTTATTTCCGATCTTTTAACCGCTGCCTCTTCCCACAAGCAGATCTTCCTTGATTTCCCCCTTACTTCTGTGCCCACCTCTTCCAAGTAGATCTACTGCCTTCGATGTGCAGACGCAGGAACAACCGAGGTACCAGACAGGCTGGCAGAAATATGGTCATTTATAAGGAAGGGTTGATAGACGGACTAAGGTGACCCTGTGGATGCTCTGGGCTGGCAGAGATCTTGGGCTGGGGCAGCAGTTTGTAAATCCAAGCGTTTGGAAGGAGTAGGATTCTTACTTCAGACGGATTAGCCCCATCATTTGCCTGCTTCGCAGGCGTCCTGTAAAGGTGGTCATTTAGGAGTGCGGTGAGGCCGACGGCTATGAAAACCACTGGTCCGGATGCCCTGGCTGACTCTAGGTTGTCTCTGGAACATCTCCCATGCCTTCCTCCTTGGCCCTGCGCTCATGGGTAGCAGCGCCGAAGCGGGGGAGACATTCACCCTGTCACTAAGTACCCACGCTCCTTGCAGGCAAGCTCTCCTGGGAAGAGCTTACACTGAACTGGAATCTGTCACACCTATGGCTTCCTCCCTTGGTCCTGGTCCAATGCCGTGGGCCCTCATCCACAGCAGCCTCATCCCTGTGGAAGCCTTCAGGTTTCTGAAGCCTGGGACGGGTCTTGGCCTCTATCCACACGCCTCCTCAGGTCTTCTGGTGTTTCATGGGCCTGGCCGCCCACACAGCTCACCCCACTGAGCCCCACATTCCCATTCGGGGACCTTCCTCAGAGCCTTCCCCTTCCTGTAAAAGAGGGGACTCACTCTTGGTGGTGCCTATGATCTTTCCACTTGTTTGAAAGCCCATGGGATTTGACAATGGCATCTTTACACCCCATCTCCCAGTTGTTGTGTCTCCTTGAGTTGATCCTACTTTTAAAATTCCTGAGCGGCCTCACTAGGACCCACCTTTAAAAGGGACATGAAGAAAGCAATACTCAAGGGACCCATTGGGACAGGTTCTCCACCTTGTTTAGAAACTGGGTCCAGAGAGTGGCCCTTCTAAACCGATAGCTGTTTCCCCCTGCAGTTTTCTGGCTTTCCTTCCACCCGGCCTAAAACTTCCTATTTGGCAGCATCTGGCCGCTGGCGGACAGCAGGGCCTTCGCATTTCCCCGAGGCTCTGGGGGGAGCAGGGTTTTGGAAACCACCCAGGTACCCACTTTGCTGGGATCCCTGAGTTCCTGCCCCTTCCCGAGACCTGACTGGCCAGCTTGGAGCTCCTCCCAGCTCCAAGTGGGTGGAGGCAGAATTCGGCCCTACCTGGAGGTCAAAATGCGCTGGACCCCAACCAGGAGAGGAATGGCTGCCCCTGAGGACGCCCCCCTCCCGCCCCCCACGACACCTGCACGGCCCAGGAACCTCCCAGTCGTACCTGAGAGGAGGGCCTGGCCCGTGAACTGCCCGTACACGGAGGCAGCATGGGTAAAGGCATTGAAGGGCGGGACCGAGGCACCTGCTGGGACCCCAGAGCCGACTTGCTGCAGATCCAAAAAGGCGGAGCTAGATAAAGAGGAAGGGGTGGAGCTAGAACTGGACACATCAGGGGTTTCCTGCTTTATGGCGAAGGGTGAATGAGGATCTGCCAGAGGGAGGGAGACAACAAGGAGAGAGGGGTGTGAGATGAGGGGGCGGGAACATGCGCACATCAAGCCATGAGATGCAGGGAGGGATGCGAGGGCGTGGCGCGCTGGGGG